CTATTTGAAAAGAAAGTGACCTTCACTTAAAGTTCTGGTCTCTCTCTGGCTTCTTTCTGGTCTCTTTCTAGTCTCTCTCGTCTCTTCAATGCAAATCTGAAATGTGTTTTAGACCAAAATGAACAAAAAAAACATCATATTTGTTCTTTAAGACAAAGCACTCTGAGTTTGTGGAACCGTGTCTCCAGTATTTGTTTATGATCTGTTGGTTTGGTCCAGAGTCTGCTCTCCATGTGACATCAGACTGTTGAACGCAGCTGATTGGTCCCAGATGTTTCCTCCTAATGGAGTCCTGGAAAACACAGAAGTCACTGCAGCTAAAAACCTTAGGGGAACCTTAACTTTATCACAATAGCAACAACAATAGAACATGGCCAGGCAAGGCAAGTTTATTTGTATAGCCCTGTCCATACACAAGGCAAGTCAAAGCACTTAACAAAACAAGACAAGAAAATTCAAATAATCAATAATCACATTAAAAAGACTGAAGATACAGTCCTTCAGTTGTTTGCACAGCGAAACAGAACAACAATGTCGGAGTAGAAGCCTGTCTCACATTTTCAGGAAGACTGTTCCAGATTTTAGCAGCATAAATCTGAAACTCTGCCTCCCCATGTTTAGACTCTGGGCACCAGCAGGAGGCCGGTCCCTGTGCTCCTCAGAGTCCCAGCAGGAGGCCAGTCCCTGTGCTCCTCAGAGTCCCAGTAGGAGGCCAGTCCCTGTGCTCCTCAGAGTCCCAGCAGGAGGCCAGTCCCTGTGCTCCTCAGAGTCCCAGCAGGAGGCCAGTCCCTGTGCTCCTCAGAGTCCCAGCAGGAGGCTAGTCCCTGTGCTCCTCAGAGTCCCAGCAGGAGGTCATGGTGTGTGTCCCAACAGAAAGAGGCGTCTTGAAGTAAAATCAGACACAACATGCTGTCCTGTTATCTGAGAGCAGATTGGCTGATTGAAGGTGATCCTCTCTTTGTTACTTTTCTGTCTAAAAGAATCGATCTAAAGATGTGACAGAGACCAAACACAGAGACAGGGTGAGAGTTACAGGAACTCTTTCATTTGTCACTGTTATTTTGATTAGATATATATAAAATGGAAATGTAGCCATTTTCAGTTGCTTGATAACCAAGTTTCTAATCCTCTTTTTCAAGATGCTGCTCCTGGACTGGACTTAAACTGGTCTTAAACTGGTCTTGGATTGGTCTTGGACTAGTCCTGGACTGGCCTTGGACTGGATCTGGTTCTGAGCTGAGTCAGCTTGGTTTTCCAGCAGAGAAGAGAGTGCCAGTTACATTCACCAGTTTTAGCTCTAAGTAAAAATGAGGTCAAAACCGTATAAAATACTTACTCTTAACAAAACCGGTGAAAACAAACTTTTTGGGGGGAATTTCTTAGAATTCCATTGATTTGAACGGGAGCCTGAGCGAGTGTGAAGTCCCTGCTCCAAAAGCGCTGCACCCTTTCTCCTCCTCCTTTGTTTTCCTCGCATCCTTTTGCCAACACAATGTTTTGTTTTTCCGTCCACATCCTTCTCTCCATCTGGCTTTCATCTGGCTCTCGGGCTCTGCCATTGGTCGATCTCCTCCAGTCTCCACTCTTCAATGCTCCAGGCCTGTGTCTTTTTGATTCCTCCAAAAACCAGGATTAAAGTGTGAGAGGGAGCGTGCCCCGGCTCGTTCGCAGACGTGCTCTCTGGTGGGACGTCCTGTAATGATGTGTTTGATCTTGTGGCGTAAGAACAGGTTCGACTGAACTAAAGTATCACTGTGTTCGCTGAAGCTTTAAACACATGGTCCCCACTTTAAACACATGGTCCCCACTGTCCCCCCATAAAAACATTCTACAGTCCTGGATCGGTGCTGGTGTAGTGTTGGTCTGGTAACACTGCCCTCAAAGTCCTCAGGCTGCCAGAGACCCGAAAGATAAGATGTTGTACTTTTTATTTGGTTTGTCCTGGGTTAGACCTGGTTTTGTCCTGGTTTAGTCCTGGGTCTGTCCTGGTTAAGACTTGGCTTCGTCCTCATTTAGTCTTTGTTTAGTCCTGGTCAAGTCCTGCTTCAGTCCTTGTTTAGTCCTGGTTCAGCCCTACTTGGCCCTACTCTACCTGGTTGTGTTTCTATTACGCTTTAGTATCTGGTACCGTATCCTAGCAATGCCCAAAAAAACCAAACCAGTAACCGGGATAATTCTTTACTAACCTTGGCTTGCCTCAGCAATCACTATCAGTTAGAACACTTTTGTACCAACTCGGCCTGGATAGAACCAGGAGTAGGATTGATTAGAGTAGAGTAGAGTAGAGTAGAGTAGAGTAGAGTAGAGTAGAGTAGAGTAGAGTAGAGTAGAGTAGAGTAGAGTAGAGTAGAGTAGAGTAGAGTAGAGTAGAGTGGGGCTGGTGAAGGGTTTTGGTGATGTCACATTAGCTCAGTCCACTCCTAACACATGGTCTCTGGTCTGTAATAATCTTGTCGTGTTTAGTCCTGGATTATTCTGGTGCTCTCTGGTCCATGTCTGCTGGTATTGGGTCCATCTGGGGAAAGACTCTGGAGCCCAATCCTGTTCAAATATGTTCTTGTGTGAGCCGCTTGTTGGTCTGCTCCGAGAAATGGTTCCTTTTGCTCGGGACAAAAAGCTCTTTGTGGAAAAATGTGGTGGGACTCTCCCTCTGACTGAGGGGAGACCGCAGCGAGGCCAAGCAGCTACTCTCAAACTGTCAGAACGGGAAATATGACTTTAAAACAACACTGTGCCTTCACTCAGAGCTCCAGACCTGCTTACAGACCAGCTCCAGACCTGGTTCAGACCTGGTTCCAGACCTGGTCCTACACTACTCTACTCTACCCTACTCTACTCTACTCTACTCTACCCTACTGTACTGTACTCTAATTTACTCTCCTCTACCCTACTCAATTCTACTGTACTGTACTCTACTCAACACCACTCTACTGTACTCTACCCTACTCTAAAAAAAAAACGTCCTCTGCATTGGACCCATCCTGCTAGGGCCTCTGTCAGGAGCAGTGGTCACCGTAGTACAGCACCGGGGTTCAGGACCAGCAAGAAACCAGAGAGAGATCTGAGAGAGACCGGAGAGAGACCAGAGAGAGACCAGAAAGAGACCAGAAAGAGACCAGAAAGAGACCGAAGAGAGACCAGAGAGAGACCAGAGAGAGACCAGAGAGAGACCAGAGAGAGACCAGAGAGAGACCAGAGAGAGACCAGAGAGAGACCAGAGAGAGATGTATTTGGACTGTGACTAATGCAAAATATCCATTATGTCATTCAAACTGAAACGATGAGAAAATCACTTTTTTTATTATATTGACTTGTGGGAGAATCGTGCGATCGCTCACAAACACAGACGTCTTTATACCAGTTTTCTGCGAACGGAAATCACATGGCACCAGACAGAACGCTGCTCATGAGGAGAGGGGAAACTGCTCTGGCTTTTAAAAACAGAAACATGTCAACTTAAGAGTCTAACCTGCTCTCATGCACAAGAAAAAGTATGGTATGTTAACAAGTGGTGGAAAAGGAGACCAGAGAGAGACCTGAGAAAGATGTGACAGAGGCCAGAGAGAGACCAGTGAGAGACCAGTGAGAGACCAGTGAGAGACCAGTGAGAGACCAGTGAGAGACCAGAGAGAGACCAGAGAGAGACCAGAGAGAGACCAGTGAGAGACCAGAGAGAGACCAGTGAGAGACCAGTGAGAGACCAGAGAGAGACCAGAGAGAGACCAGTGAGAGACCAGTGAGAGACCAGTGAGAGACCAGTGAGAGACCAGAGAGAGACCAGTGAGAGACCAGAGAGAGACCAGTGAGAGACCAGAGAGAGACCAGAGAGAGACCAGAGAGAGACCAGAGAGAGACCAGAGAGAGACCAGAGAGAGACCAGTGAGAGACCAGTGAGAGACCAGAGAGAGACCAGAGAGAGACCAGAGAGAGACCAGAGAGAGACCAGAGAGAGACCAGAGAGAGACCAGAGAGAGACCAGAGAGAGACCAGTGAGAGACCAGTGAGAGACCAGTGAGAGACCAGTGAGAGACCAGAGAAAGATGTGACAGAGGCCAAAAATACATGCATGTGAAAAGTAGTGTTAGGTAAATAGTTTAAGTTTCTGCGGATTGAAAGTTATGGCTATACTGATCTCGGCACTCCTCCGAAGCTAAGCAGGGCAGGGCTTGGTTAGCACTCTGATGGGAGACCTCAGTCTGGGAACCACAGTGGGGCTTTGTTTATATGAGTCTGGTGTGTGCGTGAATGAGAGAGACCAGAGAGAGCTCAGAGAGAGGGAGAGAGAAACCAGAGAGGTCCCGGTGAGGTTGGTGGTGGTCGGGGCTGTGTCTGAATGTATAATGTAATGTGAAGCTCCTTGATTATTTTTTTTGCCCTTCTTTAAATATTGACTGGTTATGTGTTTATAATCTAATATTTTTCCTCTTTGCTCTCACAGATCCATCCATCTCTCCTCTCCCTGTTGTGGCTGCAGGCCCTCAGACCTGCATGGACTTTGTTCAGTCCATACTGTGATTCTGGGCCTCTCCTGGAACTCTCCTGGATCTCCCTAAAGGCTTGCTTGGACTTCACTTTGGACCTCTCCTGCACCTCTATTACGCCTTGTGATGCAAACGACCTCTTGAGCCCTGAAATCCCAACACTCTTCCCCTTCGTTGGACCTCTCTTGGACCTCTCTCTGGCTTTATCCTGTACCTCTGCTGGACCTCTCTCTGGCCTTCATCTAGACCTCTCTTGGACGTCTCTCTGGCCTTCATCTAGACCTCTCTTGGATCTCTCTCTGGCCTTCATCTAGACCTCTCTTGGATCTCTCTGTCTGGCCTTCGTCTAGACCTATCTTGGACCTCTCTCTGGCCTTCATCTGGACCTCTCTTGGACCTCTCTCTGGCCTTCATCTAGACCTCTCCTGGACCTCTCTCCGGTCTTCTCCTCACCCTCTCCTGGACCCCTGAGTCCCCCACACTCTCCCCGTCTTCAGACCAAAGCCCTTCCCCTCCAGGATGGCGGGGGACCGGGACCAGCAGGTGCGCCACATGGCTGGTTTTCCTCGCTCCATGTATCCGTTCAGCTTTAACTCCATGAGAGGCCACTCCCCCTTTGACCTGCTCGCCAGCGCACACCTGTTCGGCCGCTTCGGAGCCGACCTGCCCAAGGAGATGGCCGCGCTATGTGAGTAACGTTAGAATATACAGTCGCTTTATGCTGTTTACTAACTGTTTACCCAGTAAGAGGAGAACTCATTGTCTTCACTCCTATGTGGTGGAGAATAGCATTTTCCTTGGTTCCATCGTTTGAAACATGCCAGTTGGGTTTGGTCCAGAGGTTCTTCAGGCAACCCCTAATATTCGCCATTCGCTACTGACAGTCTGCTCTGGAAATGTTGAATATAATCCTGAAATCTAGAGCTTTTATTTCCACAACCAATCAAAGTATTGGGTCATTCAAAAAACAGGATTTCCCATTGAAATGAATGTGTAGGACCAATCAACACGTGTTGTATGTGTCTTAATAAGTTATTTAAGAATGCACTTTATCATTTCATGTTTTAGATGTGAACTAAAATCTTTATTACATAATATATGGTGAAACAAGTACCAACAGAGAGGAGAGGGGAGAAGAGAAGAGAGGAAAGAAGAGAGCGGAGAGGAGCGAGAGGAGTAGAGGAACGAAAGAGGGGATGGGATGGGAGAGGAGAGAAGAGAGGAGAGGAGAGGAAAAGGGGAGGTGAGAGGAAGGGAGAGAAGAGGGTAGGGGAGGTCTCGTTCCTAAAGCCACAACGAGACTGAGTGAATAGAGCATGCAGTACCTCTGGTGTGCCACAGGGGGCACTGCTGCTCTGCTGTTGGATCCCATGCTGCACAACTGATTAAAGTTGGGTCTCGACAATAATAGGCTCAAATAAATAGTGTTTGTTTTGATATGTTGATCAACTTTGACAACATATTGTATTTTAAAACAGGTCTGTTGTTATCAAATATATTCAAAATATAGAAAGATTTTTGGTTGTTTAAATTTACATAGTGAGACTTCATATGTTAAGTAAGTAAGTAAGTAAAGTTTATTTGTATAGCGCCTTTCACAGACCAGGATCACAAAGCGCTGCACACATTAAAACACATAAAATACACATACAAGTCAGATAAAAGCAGAACACAGAAAAACACAGTTTACATTCACAGAGGCCTATGAACAGTGAGGCGAGAAAGCCTGTCTAAACAAATACGTCTTTAGTTGGGACTTAAAATCATCAACAGTCTCTAAGATACGCAGAGACCGCAGGAAGCTCATTCCAGAGGCGAGGAGCAACTGCCTGGAAGGATCTGTCTCCTCTGGTTTTAAAGCGAGAGCGGGGGACCATCAACAGGTTCTGAGTGGAGGACCTCAGGGTTCTGTTGGAAACATAGGGGTGGATCAGGCTCTGGATGTATTCAGGCGCCTGACCATGAAGTGCCCTGAATGTCAACACCAGAATGTTGCCTGAAAGATCCACATAAACAAGAGAGTGACATCACCAGAGTGACAGGTCACATCTGCGGAGAGGAGAGCTGGGACAATGTATGAATTCACATCTTTGAGCAGTAGTTTACATTTAAAGAAATATATTGTTGGGAGTAAGCGTGTTGTGGACAGGGTATACAGGGTAAATATAAAGCTGGGGTACTTAACTTTTTTGTTTCATAAATGGTACATTAGAGAAAGAGAGGAGAGGAGAGATGAGAGGATCTGAAGGACAGAAGAGAGTGTGACATCACCACAGTGTCAGCTTTTTTTGCAGAAGAGGCTGACATGAACATAAGCTAGCTGAAGCCAATTTTGTTCTATAGCTGCGTTAGCTTCACACCGTAACAGGGGCAGACATGTTGCTAAGACGGTTGCTAAGGCAAGCTGGAGTTTCGGCAGAATGACGGCATCTGATTGGTCAATACTTATATGGCTCATATCTGAATCCACAAAGACAATATCACGATATAAACACCAGAATCACAGAGAGCGCTAAACCACAGTTATTTTAAAGCCCAAAATTATGAGTGTGACACAAGCAGTTACTGAGATAGAGGAGTTTACTTTTACATGTAAGTGAATAGGAGCGAGGAGTGAGTTGGAGCAAAAACTTAAAAAACGTCCATGAGCACTTCCTTACTGGGCTTAATTTAGCTAGCAGGTTAGCATTGTCCATCTGATTACAGTCTGGATAGAACCTAATTGTTTCAGAGGCAGGACCTAGTTACATGGATTTTATGTCATGGTTGTGTTGTTGTGGCTTGAAAGTTAGGTCGCCCAGCTTTAAGGGACAAAATGAACACCAACATTGCATCATATTTGCTGTTGTTTTTTGCCGTGGACAGATCGCTGCTTGTCGGACTGAAGAATGTCCGCAGCCCCAGTGTAATTACATGAGCGGAGGCCCGTCTGGTCCTCTCTGTGGTATTTTGGTGACTCTTATCTCCTTATCGGCAGCTTTATCTGTGTCTGATACAGGAGCTGGAGGGAGCACTCAGCCTGAGGGGGGGGGGGGCACCCACAAAGGCTGGAGGAGCGGGGAAAGTATTCAGGACCAAGACATGTACATGACTAGTCTGTCTGATCATAGTGATAGAGGTAGGAGAGGGGAGGAGATGGGAGGAGAGGAGAGAGAGGAGAGAGAGGAGAAGAAAGTATTCGGGACCAAGGTATTTACATGACCAGTCTGTCTGATCATAGTGATAGAGAGAGAGTGAGGAGGAGAGGAGAGAGAGAGAGGAGAGAGAGGGGGTGAGAGAAGAGAAGAGAGAGGTTTAGGAGAAAGTATTCCGGACCAAGACATGTACATGACCAGGAAGAGAGGAGAAGAGGGACAGGAGAGGAGAATGTATTCGGGACCAAAATGATTAGTGATAGAGAGAGGAGGAGAGAGAGAGAAGAGAAGAGGGAGGGGAGAGGAGAGGAGAAAGTATTCGGGACCAAGGCATGTATGACCTGGGGGGTGAGAGGGGAGACAAGAGAGGGGAGAGAGAGAGAGAGAGAGAGAGAGGACAAGAGTGAGAGGAGAGACAGGGGGATAGAGGAGAGGAGAGAAAGGCGAGGAGAGTGATAATCTGTAAGTGTGTAAATGACAAAGAAAAACAGCTATAGCAGTGACAATGTGTTATGTTACGTCCCCTGGAGTCATTAGCCCCGTTTCCACCAGCCCTACTCTACTCTCTACTCCACTCTAGAGGACAAAGAGAGAGAGAGAGAGAGAGGGAGAGAGAGGAGAGGACAGATTTTTTTTTAGAATGGTGTGTTTTTCCACCTTGAACAATTTGTCCTTTGCTTGTGCTCCTGCTGCCAGTCACATGTTGTTCACAGTGATGAGGTGTTCGGCCCTGGTGTGGCTTGTGGACTTTTCGGGAGGGGGAGGAAGGGGGTGAGTGGGCGGGGGGGGGGAGGAAGAGGGGAGTATCCGTAACATGACGCCCGCGGGGAGCTGTGGGGCGCACGGTGTTGTTCTTTGTGTCTGTCATCGCAGCCACTCTCTGTTCAAACGTGCATAAGCTCCACGGCTGCTGGTCACTCACAGAGGAGGAGGTGAGGAGAGGGGAGAGGAGGAGAGAGAGCGAAGAGGAGGGGAGAGGAGAGGAAGGGTGAGGAGAGGGGAGGGGCTGGTCACTCACAACCAGAGGAGGGGAGAGGAGAGGAAGGGTGAGGAGAGGGGAGGGGCTGGTCACTCACAACCAGAGGAGGGGAGAGGAGAGGGTAGGGGAGGGGAGGGGAGGAGAGAGAAGAGAGGATGGGAGAGAGAAGAGAAGATAAGCGAGGAAGGGAGAAAGGAGAGGAGGGGAGAGAGGAGAGGAAAGGAGACCAGAGAGGAGAGGGAGGAGAGTGGGGGAGCAAAGAGAGGAGGGAAAGGAAATCCTCAGCCGAAAACAGAGAAAAACCGAGAAATTTTGTTTACAGCTCATCATTTGTATTTGTGACTGATAAGAGTTTAAAAATATCTTATTAATAAATATTTATCAAAAATATTAAACTGGGTTTAATAATGTTTTCTCTTTGTTCTCAGTACTTACATGCAGGGTTCAATGTTTCTGATAACATACATTCTGTGGCTTTTTTCCTGATTCAACTATCTTTAAAATGAGGTATAACATCAGTGGGGGCGCGCTGACATTACACTCTGATGTCCACTAGGGGGCCACACAGAACCTTTGACGTCATGAGCAGAGCTGACTTTAAAACAAAAGTATCGCCTCCACATTATTGTTGTGACTTTTTCCTGTTCATATTGCGACTTATGTGTCAAACAGGTTTGTCAGGAGTGAACTGACAGAGCGTGACATCACCATAGTGTCATCGTTAACGCAGATGACACTAATGTTGGAATGGAGGCCCATTCCAACATTAGATAGCTGGAGCTAATGTCCTTATTTTGCCATTTGTTTCCGACGGTGTTAGCTTTGCGCCATAACGAGGGCAATTACTAATTGGATTTTATTAAAGTTATTACAGTTAAATGTTTTGTAATATTGGGACTTTAGCCGTGAGGCGTGTGGCAAACAGGCAACATGTCGATTTTATTTCCTGCTTTGGACGATTTCGATAAATACATTTTCATTAAAGTCACAGACTAAACTTTCCGCTCAAGTTTCACTTTTTTTTTTTTATGCGTTTGTTTATATAATAATTTATGTGCTGCTGGAACTCTCACAATATCCTTCATTTGATTTCACGAATTTCACATTTTTCACAATTTAGATTTTTTCAAAGCCGATTAATTGCCTGAGTTTTATTTACTGCCCAGCCCTAGTGAGTCGTGAGCAGGGATTAGACGTCATGAGCTGGGAGGCCCGGTGCGATGACGTAGGCATTATATCAATTTAAACTTCCGCTTCAGCTTCAATTGTGTTGCGTTCAGTCCAAGATGGCGGCGCTGCGGCTCGGTTACGGGTGCGTTTGTTTCGCCTCTTGGTATATATACTCTTTGGTAGAGTAGAGTGGGTTAGGTAGAGTAGAGTAAGGGAGGTTAGAGTAGAGTAGAGTAGGCTAGGGTTTGGTAGTGTGAAGTAGAATTGAGGAATTTTTGCAACACAGATTTGATCACCGAGCTAATGTTTTGTGAACGAAAATTAGCACCGCAGTTTTAAACTAGTTCATAATCTAGATTAGATCTTCACTGGATTATGATGATAAAACACCAGACCACATCTTAAACACGGCCAGCATGAAGGGGTAAGGAAACCCGGAGCGTCTGGAGGGTCTGGAGCCATGGGGCGTGCAAGGGGGGAGATAGGGCCCTGTGGGGGAGTGCTGCAGAGTTCAGGGGGGGAGGGAGGGGCTGGGGGGGTGATGACAGCGGTGCAGCGAGACCAACTGCAAAGACAAAAGAAAGTTTAGGAAAGAGAAATGCGCTGGAGAAGTACTTTTGTTTTAGTTTCTTTGTTCCGTTGTTTTCACGTTACAAAAATATATTTATGTATTTACTCTATACTTACTATATTCTATTCTACTCTACTCTACTCTACTCTACTATATTCTAGTGTTTCTACTGGCCCTGTTTAACCAGTACCAGGTCCCTCTTTAATCCCTCTCTGTCCTGGATAGAACTGGTGCTGGTGCTGGTGCAGCTGGTGCTGCCATGGTTACCTTAAAATGTCCCCTGATACTGGTTCATTGTGTGTAGATGGTACCAGATAGCGTAAAGCCTAGCGTACATGGGACTGGCAACTGATTATATCCGTCGCATATGAGTTGCTGCCCCGCACACATCGACAATCTGACCAAAACGGGCAACTCCCAGTAGCAGACCAGTCTCGGGAATAACAGCGCGTACATCGACAGCAACTGGCCTCAACTACAGTGTGTTTTCTGACATAAACTGTTGCGGGCTCGCAATACACGCAATACACACACGTTGTCGGAGCGGCGCATGGAGCGCGCACATCGGGTCATATCTCCGAAACTGAGGACAACTAGTTGCCGAAAAGTAGAACACGGGCAACTGACTGAAACTGGAGACCGACTGATCATCTCCAGTTGTAAGAGCGCGCACATCGACCGATTTCAACTGATCATCTCCATCATCTCCTCTCAGTTGCCAAAAGCCGCCTTGCAACTAGTTGTGTCCAGTTTCTCTGTCGATGTACGCTAGGCTTTAGGGAAACACAGCCAAGTAGAGTAGAGTAGAGAAGGACCCAGGACTCAGGACCCAGGACACACAGCGTGTCCCGGAACACCTCCCCAGTGAGGCGAACAGAAGCCCGAGCCACCTCAACTGGTTCCTCTCGACGTGGAGAAGCAGCAGCTCTACTCCGAGCTCCTCCCGTGTGACTGATGACTGCCCGGAGCTCTGTCCCCTCCGCAGAGCGCCCAGCCACTCTGCGGTGAGGGAGGTAATGAAGATTGACCAGTAAACCGAGAGCTTTGCCTTTTGGTCCGGTACAGCTTCACTGCGCACGCTGCACCGACCCGCCGGTCAATCACTCCAGCCTTCCCTCACTTTTACCCATATGTTACCTTTTATTTGTTTCTCAAATCTGAAGCAGACATATAATTATAACTTGTTAATATAAAAATATCAATAATTAGTCAAACACACAGCGGCTGAATTAGTTTTGTTCAGAAAACGTAACACTTTTATACTTCCTGGCCCCGACCAAAATGAGTTTGTCCTGAGGAGTCGTTTCTCCATCGATAGTAAATAGTAAATACACTTTTTGTATTTCTACTGTGTTTTTATTTCTCCAAACTCCTGGAAAGTGGTCTGTCGGACTGAGACTGAGACAAAGGGAAGTTCAGGAGGAGGAGGATCGCTGTGTGATGCAACAATCGCAGCAGAAGCGGCAAGACGTTAATTATGTGGGAAATAAATATTAGCATAATGTTGTGAATGTTGTGACTGTCTTTGTTCCTTTGTTTGGATTCACACAGAGCTGCTTTCATGTCTGTGGAGAGTGTGTTGGATTCTCCGGAGTTTTCAGATCCGGTAAAAGGAAGGACAATGTACAGATTTGAGTCTAAAAATGTGTGTTTTGTTTTCAAACAAAAGCTCAGTTGGTGAATAGACTTTATTTGGGCTGAGCTCGAAGATCGACTTCAGATACACTTATACGATATTTTTAAATTAAATGCATGATTTTATTCTGTAATATCCATTTATTTTTCCCAATTTCTTTATGTATTTATATGAATTTGATGTACTGTAGGTATAAGGATATGTATGTATTCTGTTTTATCCAAATTTAATAGAAAATTCTTGCTCATTAGAAATATTGTTATTTTCCCATGATTTTTGTTTTCAGTAATATCATTTTTTATCCGATATTTTTTGGTTATATCGATTTTTCTCAAAAACAAAAAAAGTGAAGATAAAATCCTTCAGTCGTTGCAGCTAAACAGAACTGTTTTTAACCTGGATTTGGACATTGTCACAGTAGAAGCCTGTCTCACATTTTCAGGAAGACTGTTCCAGATTTCAGCTGCATGAATCTGAAACTATGGCTCCCCATGTTTAGTCCTGGCTCTGAGTCCCAGCAGGAGGCCAGTCCCTGTGCTCCTCAGAGTTCCAGCAGGAGGCCAGTCCCTGTGCTCCTCAGAGTTCCAGCAGGACAATTCTTATATGACTCATATCTGGATCTACAAAGACAATATCACAAAAAAACACCAGGATCACAGAGAGCACTAAACAACAGATTTTTTTTTGTGACAGAGTGTGATACAAACGGTTACTGAGCTAGAGGAGTTTCTGTTTGCCTGTAAGTAGATAGTAGCCAGAAAAAATTTGACCAAAACTTTGCCCATGAGCACTTCCTTATTGGGCTTCAATGAGCTAGCAGGTTAGCATAGTCCATCTGTGCACAGTCTGTGAATAGCTCCTCTCTCAAAACAGTTTGCTTCTATCACATCTGTAGATTTTTCAGACAGAAAATTGAAAAAGAAATACCACCCTCACTCTTGCCAATCAGCTCTCAGCCCACAGAGTCAAATAGTGACTCACAGGGCTCTTTCTTACAAGTACGATGGTCTGATTTTACTTTTACAAGACTGTCTGTTGGGGCACACAATACACGTGTTATTTATGAAACAAACTTAAAAGTGAAGTACCCCAGCTCTAAACGACAGTCCTTGCATCATCTGTGTTCTTTAAACTCCTCAGCTGCACGAAAACCAGGGAAACACTGTGTTCCCGTTTGGGCCAATCCCACGCCCTGCCCTCCCCCTCCAGGCTCCTCCCCCTCCAGGCTCCTCCCCCCCCCACTAGCCCCACCCCTCTGTGGACTGGCTCCTGCTCCTCAGTGAGAGAGGCCTCAGAGCCGGCCAGGGGGCAGAGCACTCAGAGATCTTGTAGACCAGCTCCAGACCAAGCTCCAAACCAGGTTCAGACTTTGAGGACTTCAGCTGGGATCATGTTTGACTGCATGGAGGCTTTGGGTCTGGCTCGCCCCCTTTTCGACGTCCCGGGACAGGGCTCGTGTATGCTGGCCAAGGCAACTCCATATTTCTCAAGCCTGGATCACTATGCATGGACTGGACCAAGCAGTAACAGCCTCCAATGTGAGTAGTAGTAGTAGTAGTAGTAGTAGTAGTAGTAGTAGTAGCTGCTGTACCCAACAAAAATACTTTTTAGAGAAAGACAATATTTTGTATGTAGAAAAACACTATACTATACCAAGCATAGTAGTAGTATTAGTAGTAGAAGTAGTTGTAGTAGTAGTCGTAGCAATAGCATTAATAGTAGTAACATCAATAGTGCGGTCTCTCAGGAGTGGCTGGATCCCTACACTTACTACTACACATACTTGAACTTGTACCTGTACTCGTACTCATACTCAGAGCTGTATTTACACATGGACTTGTTTGTTGTGGCGATAAAGACGTGATTGACAGGGGGGCGGGACAACTCCCCTCATTCCGCACTGCTCTGCTCTGGTGTCTGCTGGTTTATGAACAAAAATGAATGAGCTGATATGTAAAATGTGGAATTCATGAGGGATTTAACCAAATATTGGTTTGGGCTGATTTCAATTTTAATATATTTTTTTAAATTTATTTATTGTGAAAATCTGTGGAAAGATGACAAACGTTCTTCTGATCTGACAGAAGAGTTGTGTTTTGTAACGACCGATGGGGAAAACTATCAGTCTCTAGAGTTTGTAGTCTGGTTTCCTACAAACTTGGCTGTAAAACCACCACAGACTGTATACTGATGGACAATGCTAACCTGCTAGCTAACCGTAGGACTCTATACTGTTGTGTGAAGCAGGGGCGAAAATAATAAAATGAAAAGTAGTTTTCTTAGTAACCACTTTGCTCTTCTGCACAAGGCAATATTTATTTTTACAGATGGAATTTTGACACTTTCAGATATTATTATTAATGAGTTCAATAACTGTTTTGGTTCGGGTCCAGTCTTTGGTCTGGTTCTGGTTCGTGTCTGTTTTGGGTCTTGTCTTGGTGTAGGTTTGGTTTTGGTTCGTGTCTGGTCTTGGGTCTTGTCTTGGTGTAGGTTTGGTTTTGGTTCGTGTCTGGTCTTGGGTCTTGTCTTGGTGTAGGTTTGGTTTTGGTTCGTGTCTGGTCTTGGGTCTTGTCTTGGTGTAGGTTTGGTTTTGATTCGTGTCTGGTCTTGGGTTTGGTTTTGGTCCAAGTCTTAGGTTTGGGTCTGGATTAAAACATGAACTGGTACCACACACTTGTACTCGATTGGCCAGAGGTGTCCAAAACTTTCAGCAAGAAGGCCACTTTAGTTCATGAGACTAAGGATGTGAGGAGAGAGAGGGTGAGGAGCTTGGAGTAGAGCCGCTGCTTCTCCACGTGGAGAGGAGCCAATGGAGGTGGCTCGGGCATCTGTTTGGGATGCCTCCTGGAACGCTTCCGTGGGGAATCTTCCCAGACATGTGTCTCTCAGCTGGTGTGTGTGGAGAGCGACGTCTCTGCTTAGACTGCTGCCCCCACCACCCGGTTACAGATAAAGCGGAGGAAAATGGAAGGATGGATATTTGCACATGTTTGTTTTCTCGGAAACTATATTTAAAATGAGGTATAACATGCCAGTGTTACTGAGGGGGCAGAGCTTACCAGTCCTTGTCTTCACAAAGTTTAACTCTCTCTTCACATTTAGACCAGAGAGAGACCAGAGAGAGAGACCAGAGAGAGAGACCAGAGAGAGAGACCAGAGAGAGATACCAGAGAGAGAGACCAGAGAGAGAGAGACCAGAGAGAGAGACCAGAGAGAGAGACCAGAAAGAGAGACCAGAAAGAGAGACCAGAAAGAGAGACCAGAGAGAGAGACCAGAGAGAGAGACCAGAGAGAGAGAGACCAGAGGGAGAGAGACCAGAGAGAGAGAGACCAGAGAGAGAGACCAGAGAGAGAGACCAGAGAGAGAGAGACCAGAGGGAGAGAGACCAGAGAGAGAGAGACCAGAGAGGGAGACCAGAGAGGGAGACCAGAAAGAGAGAGACCAGAAAGAGAGAGACCAGAGAGGGAGACCAGAGAGGGAGAGACCAGAGAGGGAGACCAGAAAGAGAGACCAGAAAGAGAGAGACCAGAAAGAGAGACCAGAGAGAGAGACCAGAGAGAGAGACCAGAGAGAGAGACCAGAAAGAGAGACCAGAAAGAGAGACCAGAGAGAGAGACCAGAGAGAGAGACCAGAGAGGGAGACCAGAAAGAGAGAGACCAGAAAGAGAGAGACCAGAGAGGGAGACCAGAAAGAGAGAGACCAGAAAGAGAGAGACCAGAGAGGGAGACCAGAGAGAGAGACCAGAGGTAAAATTGGCTCCAGCTAGCTCTTGTTTAAATCGACATGTTATTCAATGGCTTCCTGGGACATGGCCCACTCCTGCTCTCGGGATGTCCCACTCCAGTCTATTTATCTTTCCTAATTATTTGGATACCTGAGCGGGGAGCAGCGGTGCGCGTGAGGCCTAACGATGATGGATGGCGCCCGGGTGAGGAGTGGGCGCAGCGTGGGCCTGTCGGGACTCGTGGAGGAGCTGTGCCACATGCTGAGAACCAAAGACAAAACGTCCTCCAAGTCGTATTCATCAAAAACGCCAAGATCTCCGGACAATACAGAGGCTGCTGAGAGAAGGAGGGAGGAGGGGGCTGTTAAAGGGCACGTATGATGGGAAATCTCAGGGTTTTAGTCTGTTGTCTGTGTTTCAAAGCTGGGTTACCTATGTTTTATTATGCAAATCTCAGAGAAAAGGACCACAGAGAGACCAGAGAAAGAACAAAGAGAGACCAGAGAGAGAGACCAGAAAGAGAGACCAGAGAGAGACCAGAGAGAGAACAGAGAAAGAACAGAGAGAGACCAGAGTGAGAGACCAGAGAGAGACCAGAGAGAGAGACCAGGGAGATAGACCATAAAGAGAGACCAGACATGTGCTGTTAAAGGGCACATATGATGGGAAATCTTTGGGTTTTAGTCTGGTGTCTGCGTTTTAAAGCTGGGGTACCTTTGTTTTATTACGTAGGTAGAGCTGAACACAACCCCAGGTCTAATTTGGCAAGGGACAAATTAGACCTGGGGTTGCGTTTAGCTCTACCCACGCTAATATCAGGAACTTCTGGCACAAACATGTAGCTCCGCCCCTTCTGTCTTAAAGCTCCTGTCTCAGTCCTGTAACAGTTTGTCATTGTACCACTGTGACATCACATTCAAGAGCAGATTTCTGACTTTTAAAACCAAAATAAATGAGTTTTGTTATTTTCTCAGCTGCTACGAAGTTCTTTAAAATCACCTGTGTTTTGTCTGCAGTTGGAACATTTCGATGTTGTATTTTTTTTTAAACAATTGTATCCTCCCTCTGGTGGCAGTATAGCATTTCTGAGTGTGTGTGTGTGACTTCCTCTGTGTCCTGTGTGGAACAGAATTGGGGCTATTTGCTTTTATGTCCTTCCTTTCTCCGACTTTAAGACCGCGTTTGTCCTTCTGTCTCAAAACTCTCACTGGGAAAAAGCATTCAGTTCACATACAAGTTCAACTGTGACTTTTAAAGCTGGGGAAGGTGACTTTCAAACCACCCACAATTTGAAAATAAATCTAAATAAAAGCTGTGTCACTAGTTCCTGGCTCTAAAACAGTGGCTTCTATCACTAGTTTGTACACGCATGTAGAGAGAGACCAGAGAGAGAGAAACCAGAGAGAACGCCGCCAGAACAATACCCATATAAGGAAATTGGCTCCAGCTAACTAGAGAGAGAGAGGGACCAGAGAGAGCGACCAGAGAGAGAGACCAGAGAGAGAGACCAGAGAGAACGACCAGAGAGAGACCAGAGCGAGAGACCAGAGCGAGAGACCAGAGCGAGAGACCAGAGCGAGAGACCAGAGAGAAAGAGACCAGAGAGAGCGACCAGAGAGAGAGACCAGAGAGAAAGAGACCAGTGAGACAAACCAGTGAGAATGCCATCAGAAATAAATACCTGTATAAGAAAATTGGCTCCAGCTAGCTTATGTTCAAATCGGCTACTTCTGATTAAGGCTAACACTATGGTGATGTCACACTCTGTCAGTCCACTCCTAATAATTGATCTATTCTTTTACTAAAACCTATAATTTTGCCTTTTCAAACTTTGTAACTGAGAGCAGGACTAATTATGAGCTCATGAGAGGATTAACTGGTGTGTGCCACGGGGGCAAAGCGGTAGTTGACTCCAGGTTTAAGGGGGAGTTCTATGAGTGGACTGGGATAAGGGGAGCACAGGGGGGGTATGGGGGGGTACAGGGGGGTCCTGTCGGGTGTTTGACTTTGAAAAGGTGTTTCAAAGCTGCCTGAACAAAGGCTCGGCGCTGGGGGGAGAATCACTTACACTTCAGGGACAATGGAAGGATCAGCGCTGAGGGGGAGAGCTGGTCTGAGTCTGGGTCTGGGTCTGAGTCTGGGTTTGGGTCTTGGTAAAGGTATGGGTTTGGGTCTTGAGTATGGGTCCTAGTATGGATCTGGGTCTGGGTTTGAGTATTGGTCTGGTCTGGGTATGGTTCTGGGTATGGGTCTTGATCTGAGTCTGGGTCTTGGTATGAGTCTGGGTCTCACTCCGGACTGAAAGACCAGTTGCATAAGGACCAAAGTAAGAAAAACATACAATTCTACCAGCTCTATACATGAAATCCAAATAAAAGATAAAAAGAATAAAATACTATGACAAATGAAAATGATAATAATATATAATAATTTATAGATAAATAGATAAAAACAATAATAATTATACATCTTCTTTAACTTCTGCGTTTAATTCTTTCACAATCCAATGCAGGCGCAGTGATCTTGAGCCGCGATGTATAACCAGTATTTCTCACAAGAATTAAGTAAAAATGCTGTCAGAAAATCTTCATTACAACATATGGAGGGCCGATCTAAGTGACGTCACATTGTCGGTGTGTACCCAGCCACGACACTGCAGGCTTTAAAACCCCAGCTTTGGGCAAAGCCGGGCGTTTATCAGCCCTGTACTTCTTGCTGTGAGTGGATCCAACCTGCTCACAAGACTCTGGACGCATCAATCACCGGAAGAACCCGTCCCAAACCCGTCTGTAGGGTGTGTGTCAGCGCTGTC